ATAAGTTTCCATCCTCCATCAATCCCCGATTCTTCAAATGAGGGAAGTAAGAAGACTCGGCAACAAAACATCTATGATGCAATTTGGAAGGAAATAGCACATCAAGTGGATCAATATGTGGCTCGATGGGTGTATGAAGCTGGTATTCCTTTCCATGCTTGATAATGATAGCTTCAAGCGTGTGATGGAAACGGTTGGTCAATTTAGCACGGGTTAGCTACCTCTAAGTTAATACGAATTAAGGGAGCCATTATTGAAAGAAGAGGCAGAAAGAGTAAAAAAGTCACTCAAGAAACATGAAGAAGAATGGGCTTTGAATGGTTGCTCAATCATGACCGATGCTTGGAATGACCAAAAAAGAAGAAGCATAATGAATTTATGTGTCAATTGCAAGAAATGCACCATGTTTCTTTCTTTTAAGGAATTCTAGTGAGTTTTTGTTTTACAGATTTGCTTGCTTATTTTTTTTCAATTCGTTGTTTGGTTGATCGGAATTAAAAATTCAACCTTTTTGTTATTCTACTAATTGCTTATCATCTGTTGCTTGCATATGAATATGATTGTTGTAATTCAAATTCAACTCGTAATGCAGAACTATTCTGATTGCAATTGAATATTATTTACATTTAGGTCGATGTAAATGTTGAATTTGTTAAGGTATTGGAAAAATTACAGAGTTTTGGATTTGAAACTAATTGGATTGAGGGGGAATCTGTTATCTGTCTACTAATAATTCTCATAATTTTCTCCGGATGCTTGAAACCAATTTGGTTATGTTTGTCTGTGGATACTGGATATCGAGTAACCTCATTTGGTCTTCTACATCTAATTTTATTTGGTTATGTTTATCTGTGAATAAAAATATATTAATTATCAAATCCTTCTTTCCAATTCCAAGCATAATTAAATAATTGTCAACTCTGGAATCTAGATTTGAGCATCCTTCTGAAGGTACTGAGATAAGATGATTCTATGAAACTTTTTCGAAATTCTTGTTCGAAATTTCTGTAAAAATTCAGGTCTGTCTCTATGATCCGACAATGTTGAAACACTACATCAGCTATTAAGAGTACTAAAATGTTGAAAAATAGTTTGAGTGTTTGACATGATGGCAATTAAGTGGCCGTCCATTTAATTTGATTGGGGAGGTTTTTTACTCTGAGCACATTAGGTGGGGCAAATAATTAATAAGAATTTGACAAGTTTGATTGTCTTTTAGCATTTCCTTTATGTTTTAACTTCCTTTTCTGACACTAAAGAATGCTTAAGAAGTTGAGTATTTCTTTTTTCTACTTTAATTATACTGTTGCTGAATAGAGATATTGATCTTGACATTGCATGATCCATTTTACTCACTTTAAAACGTTGTGCTTTGACCAAAATAGAAAAACAAAACAATCTGAGTTGGCTTATAAGTTAAAATACTGTGATAGTTTTTTGTGGGAGATTAAGACCTAAAAGTTTGTAATGTTTATTTTATATGAATTTTAGGATTGTTTCTTGTGTGATGATTGGTACTTTAAAACGTTGTGCTTTGACCAAAATAGAAAAACAAAACAATCTGAGTTGGCTTATAAGTTAAAATACTGTGATAGTTTTTTGTGGGAGATTAAGACCTAAAAGTTTGTAATGTTTATTTTATATGAATTTTAGGATTGTTTCTTGTGTGATGATTGGTACTTCATCTTCTAGAGCATCTACTGCAATGTCGTGTTCCTCCCAATCTGAAAATGTGTTGAAGCGTAGCTCGGAAGATGTGGGATGGGAATATGGGATCTTGGCAAATCCTACAAACTCAGATAAGGTGAAATGTAAGTTGTGTAACAAAATCATTAGTGGTGGAGTACATAGATTAAAACATGTAGCCAACATAAGGGGAAATGTAGCGGCATGCACAAAGTCATCGGATGAAGATAAAGCCAAATGTAGAGTTGTATTAGAAGAAGCAAAGAATAAGAAGAAACAAAGGGATAAGCACATTGTGGAAGTGAGGGAAGGGGTGCAACTTCAACAAATTCAAGAAGAAGAAGAAAACATTGAAGCGATTGGGTCAAGGAAAAGGTCTCGCACTCTTGGACCTATGGATAAGTTTCCATCCTCCATCAATCCCCGATTCTTCAAATGAGGGAAGTAAGAAGACTCGGCAACAAAACATCTATGATGCAATTTGGAAGGAAATAGCACATCAAGTGGATCAATATGTGGCTCGATGGGTGTATGAAGCTGGTATTCCTTTCCATGCTTGATAATGATAGCTTCAAGCGTGTGATGGAAACGGTTGGTCAATTTAGCACGGGTTAGCTACCTCTAAGTTAATACGAATTAAGGGAGCCATTATTGAAAGAAGAGGCAGAAAGAGTAAAAAAGTCACTCAAGAAACATGAAGAAGAATGGGCTTTGAATGGTTGCTCAATCATGACCGATGCTTGGAATGACCAAAAAAGAAGAAGCATAATGAATTTATGTGTCAATTGCAAGGAATGCACCATGTTTCTTTCTTTTAAGGAATTCTAGTGAAGCACACACCAGGGAATATATCTTTGAATATGTTGACAAGTGTGTTGAAGAAATTAGGCCTCAAAATGTGATTTAAGTGGTAACCGATAATGCATCTAACAATATGGCGGCGGCAAACATGATGAAGAAAAAGAGGCCGAATATCTTTTGGACATCATGTGCCACTTATATTTTGAATCTCAAGCTTCAAGGGATTGGTAATCTCCCTAGGTTCAAAGGAGTTATTGACAAGGCAAAGACTTTCACTATCTTCATTTATGCACATCATAAAACTTTGGCATCGATGAGGAAACATACCAAGAAAAGGGACATAATAAGGCCCAGAGTCACTAGATTTGCAATTTCTTTCCTCACATTGCAAAGCTTGATGGATAAGAAAAAAGACTTGAAGGTTATGGTTGCTAGTGATGAATGGGAACGATGCAAACATGTCAAGACTACAAAGGGGAAATCGGCATATGCTACCGTAGTGAGTGCATATTTTTGGAGTGGGATCTCACTTTGCTTGAAAGTGTTTGAACCTTTATTCAAGCTACTTCGAATTGTGGATGGGGATAAGAAACCATCAATGAGATTTTTGTTGGAGAACTACAAAAAGCAAAGATGGAGATTAAAGAGATATTCAAGAACAGTGAGGCCAACTATCAACCAATTCTTCAAATTATTGATGAAAAAGCTTGTGAGCAGCTTGATAGTCCATTGCATTTGGGTGGCTACCTCTTGAACCCTTATTATTTCTTCAAAGATCAAAGCATACAACATGATCCAATTGTCATGGAGGGGATTCTTACTTGTGTCGAGAAGTTCTTCCCCGATAACTATGAGGTTCAAAACCAAGTGATAAATGTTGAGATGCACAAGTATAAAGTAAAAGAAGGTGGATTTGGAAGACATTTGGCCGAATTTGGATGTGTTGAGAATGATGAAAACTATAGTCTGGGTATGAATATTCACATATGCTTATATTTTATTTATTAAATTTGAGTTTACTACTTATTTTTCATTACTAATTTGTGTTTTTTTCTTCATTAGTTGCATGGTGGTATAATTATGGAAATGTTGTGCCTAATTTGCTAAGGATGGCTATAAAGATACTTTCATTGACTACAAGTTCATCCGGTTATGAAAGAAATTGGAGTTCTTTTGAAGGTATACATACAAAGAAAAAGAATAGACTAGATACAACAAGGTTAAATAATTGAGTCTATGTCCAATTTAATGCAAGGATTATGAATAAGAAGAAAAGAGAGAAGGAGAACAAAGTGGACATACTACTTGCAAGTGAAGCTAGTATGGCGCAAGGATGGATTGTGGAGGGTGGTGATGAAGAACTTGAGCTTGGCTTGGGAATTGGAGAGACATCGGAGGTAGGTAGTTCCCTAGAGCCTAGGAGGAGTTCTAAAAATGTTGAAGTAAGAGAACTTCATGAAGAAGATTTTATATCGGATGAGGACACAGAAGAAGAAGAGGGAGATGATGAAGAAATTGAGTTCGAGTCCGACACGGAGAGGGTCTTGGAAGGATATGGTGAAGAAGAGTTTGATGCCTAGTAACTTTCATAGCTCGATTTTCTTTTCTGTCAATGTCTGCATGTGTAGCATTCGAACATTTGACTAATTGTTGTTAATTCTATGAAATGTATGCCCAGCATTTGTACTCATTGATGTTAATTATGTGAAACGTTTGTGCATCATTTGTACATTTGACTCATCGATAGTAGAATTTGTGAGATGTATGTGTGTCATAGACTCATAGTAATGTACTAATGTTGGACTTGAATGTTTCCATAGTTCTAATCTTCCATACTTACAAGCAGTGTCTAATTTTGAGAATGCTCATTGGACATAAGATTGGAAATCACATTTCAGTGGTTGCAAGCACTGCCTTGTTCTCAAGTATACCATATGATTATGAATTACTTTATTTGTTGAAAGAAATATTTCTTTTGTACATTTTCTACCTGTTTTGAAAGGGTTAATATGCACTTATTCACAGGATATGCAAAAAATTTACTTAAATCTGCCTAGGCCGCCAAGGCGCCCGCCTAGCCACCTAGGCGCCTAGCTCGCCGCCCGACTAGGGCCTAGCGTTTTTTAGAACTTTGCTTTTACCCCAAGAAAGGAATACGTTAAGGTGATCCCCTCTCACCTTATATTTTCACTACCAAAAAAAAGGCCTTTTGGGACGGTCAAAACATGTTGCAAAAACAGCAAAAAGTGTTGCAACAACCCTTTTTAAGATGAGCTTGCGACGGCCAATGACGCGTCGCAATACATAGGCGTCGTAAATGTTGGTCAATTATGTGCGACGTTTTCAGCGCGTCGCAAATACTATTTGCTACGGGTTTGCACCGGCAAGTAACGCGTCGCAAATAATTGGCACCAGGTATTAAAAAAAATATATTGGGCGTCAAATGGGACACCACAATCACATTATTTTTAATAGCTTCACCATAATTGTTTCATGTGAAATGTTACTACATATTTCAAACTAAAATAAAATCCAATACCAATACAATTCATAATTCACAAAATGAGAAACACTTAGATATCAAAGAATGTATTTCACTTACATTAATGAAACATATATACATGGTCCAAACGTTTATAAGTTCTATATTCCTACGTCAAAGTCCTCATGATAATACAAACAATGTAAAATTGTCTTCAAACTTCTGCTTCCACCTCTTGTCACAAACCTCCTTAAATCTGTACTTAAACCTGGGCAGTCAGATAACTCAACATTTGTAATAATTTCCTTATAGAACCAAATGATATAGAATTGATAGTTGAATGTTGAATAATTCTTCCAACAAAGGTAAATTTACCTGCCATCGTACTTCACTATTTCTTCATAATAGTTTTTTTGGTGCTTAAGTATAATGGTCACTTCTTGGAAAGAGCCAACGACATTGACAAATTGGCAAACACTTGAATAGACTACCAAAAAACCAGGGTTTTGTTAGTAGAGTTTATCAGCACATTTGCCTAAACGAACAAAAAGTTATGCGATGCCCATTGCCGTAACATAAACCTCATCAGCATTATACACAGAAAGGGCCACACCAGGCCCTTTGAAATTGTAAACATCAAGTGCAACAGGGGAGACTCCTTTTGGGACTTAGCATTACAAACAAATAGATGCGTAGCAGAAAACCATATTCAAGGGGAAATTACTTCACCAACATAATCATATGGTCTAGAATGTTGAGATTTACTTATCAAAAACCATTTCAAGTTTTCATGGCCCTTTGACAACTGTATCAGGTTCGATACTAATCGCCAAAGGCATGCCTACAAATACACAATGCTTTCCATTTTCTCCTGCGTCTTGCTCTGACTTCTACTCATCATTCACCATTCCTTTCCAAACAGTTCTTCCTCTTTCCTCTACAAATCTTACCTTTTTCTGACCACGCCATGCTTCTTCACTAAAGCACTGCCATTTTCTCTGCATTCAACAATGCTTTCTTCCTCATCCTTCTCCAATTAATCCACCTCCAAATTTCTTTCTCTTGCTAATTGAGTCACCAGTGGCATTAAAGAATAAATAAACAAAACCAAGCCAGCATAGCAATTAATGATGAAATTGAACATAGAAAAGAAAAAAAAAAAACCCTAAACACTGGGAGAACTAATGGAGAATAGATAAGACTGAAATTTGCGGAAAAATGATGAAACAACACCAAGAAAAAAAACAAATTAGAAGATAATTCCTCAAATAATCCTACCGAATGAGAAGGGATGAGGTTGAATTTGAATTTCTAGCAGCAAAAAGAAAAAGCTAAGAGATGACAAAAAATATTAGGGTTAGGGAAATGGGAGATTTGAGAGAGGAATAAGAAAAGTAAATCCTTACCTAGTTCAATTGTGTGTCAGCATTAGTGGTTGTGGCAAGAGTGGCAAAGAAGGATCTATGCTTTGAAGAGAGGCGGAGAGCGAGAAGGAGATGAGAGTGCAGTTGTGTTTTTTTTCTTCTACTTATTCACAACAGAGGTGTGTGTGACGAAACTTATTCTTGTCACAAACAACATAGTGCCAAAGTTTAGAGCACATAAAATAATGAAATTTAATAGTTACTGTGAGAGCCGCACCACGCGTCGTAAAAAAGGTGTCGTAATTACCGTATTTTCTTGTAGTGATTCTTTGCATGGAATCATTAATTAGACATTTTAATATTTTGGCAAGCAATTCTAAATCGCATGTAGGAACTCCGTTATCCCCTAGTGGATTTAGAATTTCAAATCTAGTGTTTGCAGATGATTGTTTATTGTTTGCTAAGACAACCACAAACGAGGAATGTTCTGAACACATTAAATATGTTTGCTAAGCCTAAGGACACGTATTGAGCACTTCCCACATCATTTTACTTACATTCAAGATTAGAAATGACTTCGAGCCATTACCAGGAACTATTCTAGGGATGTTTTTACATAGAATAGGTTCAAGAAATAATAACACCTGTAAAATAATGCATTACATTTCAATTAGAGATTGTTCAAACAGTTCGGTAATCTTTTAGATGCTAACTTAAGTTGTAACTTATTAATGAAAACGAGTAAATCACAACATTGACAAAAAATGACATAAACCAAGAATTTACAAATTGCTTACTTTCTTGGACTACTTATTTACTTTTCTTTCTTCCTGCTTCGTATGATCCTTTATGGCCCAAGAAAATAACCTACTCTCTTGCATCTTCGCAAACCTTTCCTTGTATTGATGTCATCAGAATGCCCCACTTCATCTTCTACCTTTAAACTACACCCCGTTCTCACTTTTCTTAGAGACCTGCTTTTCATTTTCTGTTGCGTCTTGCTCTGACTTCTACTCATCATTCACCATTCCTTTCCAAACAGTTCTTCCTCTTTCCTCTACAAATCTTACCTTTTTCTGACCACGCCGTGCTTCTTCAGTAAAGCACTGCTATTGTCTCTGCATTCAACAATGCTTTCTTCCTCATCCTTCTCCAATTAATCCACCTCCAAATTTCTGCTTCTCTTGCTAATTGAGTCACCAGTGGCATTAAAGAATAAATAAACAAAACCAAGCCAGCATAGCAATTAATGATGAAATTGAACATAGAAAAGAAAAAAAAAACCCCTAAACATTGGGAGAACTAATGGAGAATAGATAAGACTGAAATTTGCGGAAAAATGATGAAACAACACCAAGAAAAAAACAAATTAGAAGATAATTCCTCAAATAATCCTACCGAATGAGAAGGGATGAGGTTGAATTTGAATTTCTAGCAGCAAAAAGAAAAAACTAAGAGATGACAAAAAATATTAGGGTTAGGGAAATGGGAGATTTGAGAGAGGAACAAGAAAAGTAAATCCTTACCGGGTTCAATTGTGTGTCAGCATTAGTGGTTGTGGCAAGAGTGGCAAAGAAGGATCTATGCTTGGAAGAGAGGGAGATAGGTGGAGAACGAGAATGAGAGAGGCGGAGAGCGAGAAGGAGATGAGAGCGTGTAGTTGTGTTTTTTTTTTCTTCTACTTATTCACAACAGAGGTGTGTGCGACGAAACTTATTCTTGTAGTGATTCTTTGCATGGAATCATTAATTAGTAGTTACCGTGAGAGCCACACCACGCGTCGTAAAAAAGGTGTCGTAATTACCATATTTTCTTGTAGTGATTCTTTGCATGGAATCATTAATTAGACATTTTAATATTTTGGCAAGCAATCCTAAATCGCATGTAGGAACTCTGTTATCCCCTAGTGGATTTAGAATTTCAAATCTAGCGTTTGCAGATGATTGTTTATTGTTTGCTAAGACAACCACAAAGGGAACGAGGAATGTTCTGAACACATTAAATATGTTTGCTAAGCCTCAGGACAACAAGTTTTCATAAGCCTTATCTTTATTTTTCAAGTAATACCAATGCTCATACGACTGCCATTGCGGACATTCTTCATATTCAGCACAAAACAACTATTATTCTTGTTCAAAATAGAAGTGATTATTTTATTTGGAGATCTTCGGCTAACGGTAAGTTCTCAATAAAGTTGGCATCTTGGATCCAGAACCATAACGATCATGATGTAAGTAGACATAAGTTACAGAAGAAAATTGTGGAAGTTGATGATTCCCCCTCCTCCTGGCTCCCCCCCTCCTGGTTTTTTTAAGCTAACTTTGAAGGTTTGGTCATTTGGAGATGGCGACTGCTGCTTTTGTTCTACGGAATGAGGAGGGGAAACCGGTTGGTGCGGATGCTTTTATTCTTGATGGCACTACTATCTCAGTTGTGGAGGCCATTGCTTTAAATGTTTACTAAAACATTTGTGGTTATCGTTCTATTTTCTCTTAAGTTTATGCACTTATGTATATTTTTTATTTTTCGATTAAAACAAATCAAATGAGAATAAAAAAACGAAATTACAAAGACAAAAAATGTGTGTTAAATTTCCGTTTTGTAAAGTGTGGGGTTAACGGGCAACAAGGATTCATAATTTTCTTACTTGGTATTTTTCTCGTTTAGTTTTACAAGCAATGCAAGTACAAACATTCTCATATATGCAATTTGCAAAGCAGAAATAACCCCCTTGTAATAATTAATTTACATTAGACCTCTAATAAAGTGATTAGACTATTGGTAATGATCAATTAATCATCCAAACAATAATCCAATTCCAAGTGCTACGAGTTCATGCATGCACATCCCATAATTTCTAATAGGGTTTCTCTCCAACCCAATTTCCTGGCGGATCATAGTTACATATGATGAGCTCCCCAGCTCCATTTCTGCAAACCTCTCGTGCACAACCCAGACGCTTCGTGTCCTTCCACACCATTTGCGTATAATGCCCACACATCTGCCCGGTTTTACAACTATCCGTCTGGTAATTGTAGAACAACTTCTCGTGAGACCACGACTTCGCCGCAAACCTCGCCCCCCACGGTTGATTCCCGCCGCCCCAGAAGATGTTCTCCCCGTAAGGCCCCGTCGAGTGTACCATCCTGCAGTCCATGCTCGCTCTCTGTTTCGTGTAAATCCTAGCAACTGTTGCTAGGTTTTCGTCCCACACCAAGGGCGGTAGGCCAATTTTCCGTCGTAAATTGTTGTGAACCTTCAGAAAATCATGAGGATTCGCTGTTGGAGCACGGCGAATACGATGACGCGCTTGTGCGGCCTCAAGACAAATGAAAATGCATACGATAGTTGCTAAAATAGTTACTCGGCTTCCCATTGATGTCATTTTTCTTTGGAATTGTACCTACTCTTGGCCTTGATTTGTAAGTTATATAAGTAAGCTGATCAGAAGCCTCTCAGGGTTACTGTTACATTGAGAAACAACAGAAAACTGTTAAGTTGTTTTCTGAAGAGGTCTTTCATGGGTTTCCTATATTATATTGGAAAGGTTTAGCTAATTTGTTTATTAACAATACTCGTTAACGTTTTAGTGTGTTATAACTAATTAACATAATTTACGTGTTCTTAGTTTTAGTTAATTAGTGGACTGTTTGAAATTCATTTTGTTTTTATTTTTCATTATTTTTCTCATCGCCGTACAAATAACATATCTTTATCGTATAGATTTCATAATCAGAACCCTTCAATTTTTTAATTTTCATCTAAAGATCATATCTACAAAATATCATTTGAATCGGAAATTGTTTATGCATCCGAATTTATATGACAAATCAATAGTGACTATCAAGTCACATACTCATGATGAACTGTTCATTTATTTGATGAATTTGGATGACAAAACAATTTCCTATTGATTTTTCGTAAGGATGATATTCAAATAAAAATTAAGAAAATGAAATATTTTTATTATAAAATTTATACGGTAAACAAATGATATTCGTATTGCAACAACAATATTCCGAATTGTCTATTGCAACAACAATATTCCGAATTGTCTATTTTTAAGGTCTAGCATGAAGAATCACATGGTGTAGCCAAAAAATGCTCTCAATCTAGAAAAGCCAATCCGTTGGACTGTTGAATAAAAAAGGCAATGCATGTGGCGATTCAGTTCCTATGATTATGTTTGTGGTTATTGGCTAAAATGTCTTCGGAAATTATACTCTAATCACTACGAAAGTACATACGAAATTATTGGAGTACGCATGTTTTACTAACCGTGCACATACAACCTTGTTATTGCAGGAAGTTTATCTGCTGTAATCATGTCTCCATGGACATCATCAAACCAAACTCGTTCAAGGACGTTGAATTGGCGGTGCTACATGCCAAAATCCGCTTTCCGTTCTTGGTAGAATTTTTCGATCCAGCCTTCTATCAGCTTAATTTCAGTTTCCCTTTGCTCAATCAACCACTTAGGATCGTCTTTCGTCGAAAAACGCAGATCTAAGTGATGCGCACCTGAGAAACAGAAAACAAAAGAATTGTACTGTTAGTAGAAGCAAGAACAGTTAAGAGGCGTTGAGCAAGCTGTTGTTTTTCTGAGTGCTCAGGTATGGTTTTGTAAAGCCAATTGTCGAGTGTAGAAGATACCTTCTTCAGCAACAAGAGCGACGATAGTTTCCGATACATTTTGCAGGACACTGTAATAGATATCATTCATAGACATTAGAACTCATATATTTAGTGTTCGACGGCTCTAATTGCAAAATTAGATAAAAATAGAGTTACCTGCCACCACTCCAAGGATCCAATAAGCCATTGGAGAAAATGATGTTGCTTCCAAACGCTTTCAAGGTGGCCTTAATATCCTTCAAATTCAATAGCCAAGAGTACCAGTATCAAACTATAAATTTGAGAAGGAATAAAAATCATCTATTTAAGTAGCTACGGGTACATGCAACAACCCACATTCTTCAGACATCAGATACGCACATTGCACCGGTGTACTAGTGTAAAGGGTAAAATTCAAGGAAGTAGTTGCTTCAAATTTCTAAATTTCTAATATCAAGATTTTCAAAAAATTGTTGTAACAAATGTGAAAACAAGTAATTTAAAAACAGCAGATCAGAAGTTAATCATTGCTCTTGGATAGGTAATATAAATATAATCTAAACTGTACCCAAGGTGTTCAAATTTATGTTGACCAAATCTATTGCAAGATCGGTACATTGCAGCACCTTTATTAGAAAAGAAAATCACCCTTCATTACTTTTCTAGCCTGGCATCCTTTATCACCACGCATACGAGGTTACACAATAACAAAACCACAAAGTGACGTAAGAGTAGGAAAATATACAATTAACAAGGGAGAAAAACAAGATTGTCATTCAATGAACCAATACGGCACTATTCACACTACAGTAATTATTATTTAACAGCAACAATGAAATGATCAGATGCTAATAGACTTAAAAGAGGAATAGACAAATAAATTCATAATGAATCATTCTCTTACATGTCCGCCATATTCTGTTGTGATCCATGTAGGCCTTGGTTTCACATTATAATTCTTCAAGCATTCTTCTTCAAAAGAAGAGAGATTAAAATCATAGGTTGGAAACATGCTGGCATCCCGACTAGACATTGGCATAACCATTTCTGTGCATGCCTGTATAATGGAAATGACATAATAAGAAGAAATTGCATTAAAGGATTTTCATTTTTTTTTTTTTTTCCTGGGAGTACCAAATTTCAACCATTATGTTGATTTGAAAAAGAGCATAATATTCCTGTAACGCTGATAGACCTGCCAATTCCAACCATCTGTGCCAACAGCGGAAGTATCCTCCAGCTCAAAACATTCAGCTTGTCCAGTGTAATTATAGAAAATGCTTACTCCTTCAAATACACGCTCCAGTGTGCTAGTCCCATCAGGACAATCGTCAATCTTTCTGCAAACCTACAAGAAGAGCCAAATGACTATTTTGATTTACCACTGAAGAAAAAACCATTCCTGAAGATTCTGCTAGACAAATATTCTTAAGCAACACAGCCCTGAAAGGGAAGACTAAAGAGAAACAGGAAATCACACGGTTAGAACTCCATAGTATTCATGCATATCTTAAAAAAAGCGAAACAGTCTCTGCCACAAATTTATGGTCTTAATTCCTAAGATAAAATGAAAATGCCACAGACCGGAGGAAAAAAAAAAAAAAGATGTAAATACCAATTGCCAGAAATAGATTATTCTAAAAGTGACAATGATTCACAAGCACGGTCATTAGAAATTTTTTTTGTTTCATTGAAGAAATCATAATCCAATGAGAAAGATTACAATGACTGAACTTGCCGTATTATTTGAGACAGATAATTATAAACTCGAAACAGATACACAGAAGACACCCTGGTATAGGGAATTAAGGAACTTGGACACATTGTCTTTTCCTAGATTAATAATTTTCAAGAACATTTCATTTGCACATCCTGGAGAGGCTGGGATATATAGTACATGGTACATTCACATCACACGAGATCAATGGTTAATAATTGGTTTCAAAGCAAACTATAATCATGGGGGTATAATAGCTAACAATGCACAGTGAGAAAATTATCAACTAACCTCTTTTATGGGGTGTCCAGGCAAAGGCATTACAAATTCAGCAGGATATGGGTAGTTAACCATTGCCAAATAGCTATATGCTGAGTCTAACCAGTCTGAAAGATCATCGATCTTCTTTAATTCTCTGAAAAATGGTTTTGATCAGCGGAAACCCAGTGGCAGTTAAGAAGAATTCAAGTATAAACAAGACCATCTCCACTCTCCACTAAAAAACATATGTTCCTTACCGACATAAGCGGAAAGTTTTTGTCAGCTGGACAAGGCCATTATCCTTCTGTCCCTCAGTTACTAGTGCATCCCATGACGCTTTTATGGTGTTAAAGCAGCTACTACTTTCGCGCTACGGGATATAAGATGGAGGTAATATTCCGTCAATATCATAGCACAACACAAAAGCACAAGGCAAAACAAACATACAAGATGCACAATTGCACAAGTTACCCTGAAATCATTAGAAACAATGTTGTAAAACGTTTCTGTTGGCACAATATCTTCGAATTGAAGAATCGGCGCGGAAGAAGCAAGTGCACCAATTGCAATGTGAGGATACTTAAGCCTCATCCAAGCTGCTAACACTGTTTTCAACATCATTAAAAAGCAAAGCATCAAACATTTTCTTGGTTTCATCAAATCTAAAACAAATTTCAACTTTCACTAAAACAGGGCATTACTAATTCACATACTTCCTCCATACGATCCACCAAAGAGCACCACCGGGCAACCTTCTGCCGATAAATTTCGCTTGAGCTCCGTGATTAGTACAGCGAAATCGGCCAGGGTTTGCCCGGCGGTAAGAAACGACAGTGTACTAGCATTCTTATACGCCTCTTCCTCACTCCCGTACGGCATAGACTCTCCATAGTACCGGTGCTGCCAACCAATTCCAAAAACCAAATTAACTTTCCTTCCTTTGACCCTTTTCTTTTTTTTTTTGTAATTTTCTAGGGAACCAAACAGAAACTTACTTCGGGAAAGAGAACCATGGCCCCGAAGCGAGGGGCAAGCTCCCAGACGAAGCCCGTGTTTTCGGCGAACCACTCGATGCCGCCTTCGTTGCCGCAGTAGAAGAAGATGGGGCCAAGCCGCTGTGCGCCCACCCAGTGCTCGGTGTTGATCAGGTACCGCTGCTGGAACTTCGGCGTGTCCGTGAAGCTGAAGTGGTCAAGCCGCTGAGCGAAATATCGGGTTTCGTATCGGATTTTCGGTTGCTGTTGTTGCCGGTGCGGCGGTCGAGGTTTTGGCGTAGTAGTTGAGAATTTGCCCAGGAAGCGTGGGGCCCATTTGGAGGAGGAGGGGGCGTTGGACGGTTGCGATGCAAGGGAGGGCGGCAATGAAGTGATGACGACGGCGATGATGACGACGACGATGATCGGGAGAGGAAGTTTGGGGTTTGGCATGTTTTGCTGTTTGAGGGAGTGAACTGGTTTTTTCCAGGAGGCGTTTTCGTTTTTGGAAGGTGAGCTGGGGGGTTCGCTTCAGGACCTCTAGGTGGGTGAGATATTTTATAAGAATACAGCCTGCTATACTAATTGTCAGAAGACAATTGTTATATTATGAAACTTAAATAATAAGTTATTCGAGAATCAAGTGATTTGATTGACAATTAATTAATACTCACAATTATGTTTACATTCTTCTACTTGAATATCAAGCTTAATTTTAATGCATCAGTACTCTATAATCACATACACACTCAAAATAATAATACATGTTGCTGATGAAGAGAAAGATCGGTGCCCAGCGAATAAACCTTCACTCAGCATTAATTGCATCAACGGAGAACAGGAGCACTAGGACAATATCGAGGCGCTTGAAGATAAAAAGGCTTGCATCCTTGCATAGAGGAAGGGAACTTCGATCACCATGAGAGGGAACGTCATCAAGCACCAATAGTATCACTAAAAATCCTTGAACAAACTATTATTCTTCCTCAGCATAAGAAGATATGTAGGCCGTCCATTAGGAATTCAACCACAATTGACTTGAAGACTGTTGTCTACACGTAAACTGGGAGAAACATCTCTAAAGCCTACCCATGTTAAGGCACATTCGTCAAAGATGGACCTCAATCAATGTAAAGCACATTGTTTCATCATTTATTAGAACTACACCAACAATTTGATTCTCCTTTTCAGAGATATGTAGGTAGTCCCATACAGATTCAACCACAATCTCCCATCAAACCCTCATTCTTTTATAATAAGAATTTGGTTTGATTTTCGCATGACTTTTGTTTGTTTGTTCTTTCTTTTTTTTCTTTTTCTACGATAAGGGAACCCCGTATCTCAAATATCACACATCTTTGAAACTTTGCAAAAATGCAAGTCTAAAAGTTTAATGTGACATCCCACATCGCCCAGGGGAGTGATCCTTATATGTATATTTTCATCCCTACCTAGCACGAGGCCTTTTGGGAGCTCATTGGCTTCGGGTTCCGTAGGAACTCCGAAGTTAAGCGAGAAGGGGGCTAGAGCAATCCCATGATGGGTGACCCACTGGGAAGTTGCTCGTGAGTTCCCAAAAACAAAACCGTGAGGGAATGGTAAGCCCAAAGCGGACAATATCGTGCTACGGTGGTGGAGCGGGCCCGGGAAGTGATCTGCCCCAGGCCGGGCCGGGATGTGACAAATTGGTATCAGAGCCTAACCCTGACCGTGGTGTGCCGACGAGGACGTCGGGCCCCTAAGGGGGGTGGATTGTGACATCCCACATCGCCCAGGGGAGTGATCCTTATATGTATATTTTCATCCCTACCTAGCACGAGGCCTTTTGGGAGCTCACTGGCTTCGGGTTCCGTAGGAACTCCGAAGTTAAGCAAGAAGGAGGCTAGAGCAATCCCATGATGGGTGACCCACTGAGAAGTTGCTCGTGAGTTCCCAAAAACAAAATCGTGAGGGAATGGTAAGCCCAAAGCGGATAATATCGTGCTACGGTGGTGGAGCGGGCCCGGGAAGTGATCCATCCCGGGCCGGGATGTGACATTTAAAGTATTAGTGTTAAAATAGTATATTACAGCTCATTCCATAGTTGATTAGCAGCTTGAGATGCTTAAGCTGTATCAAACGCGGTTACGATAGGCAGACTATGACATAAAGACATAACCTCTTGATCTAGAAGTTTCCAATGCACCATCTAGCCTTCGTAAAGTTTATGCAACCTAAGGGTGATAGGTTTAACATTCAAACCTAGGCTATGGCTATTCGAGAGAATAATCGAAAGGGCGATCCAGAAATCATTCGAGTGGTGGCTCTGAACTCCAACCATAAGTACTTCTATCATGGACTAGCATATTAAATCAAGTACGTTCTGCAACGATCTTGTGCCTAAGCAGGTCTGAAAGAGGCATATATGTGAACACGAAAAATTCCTTGAAACAAGAAACACGAGAATAACGTGTACAAAATAATATTTTTTGTTTGATGATTTTGGGGTTACGATCTCTCTCAAATTTGGTCCTCTGATTCTATCTTCGCAGTGTGTAGGTTTATGGATGAGTTGTTGATCCAAAGGGCCGTCGGGGCTTGATCTAAGGATGAACAGTTGATGAACGATGAACACTTTCTTCAAGGGCCGTCGGGGCTTGATCTTGAATAATGGTTGTGTGGATTTCTTCAAGGGCTTTTGGGCTTGATCTTGAAGGTTGATTGGATGTGTGGATTTGTTTGTTGATCCAAGGGGCCGTCGGGGCTTGATCTAAGGATGAACAGTTGATGAATGGATCTTCAAGGGGCGTTGGGCTTGATCTTGAAGAATGGGTGTATGGGTTTGTTGAGGTCGTTGATCCAAAGGGCCGTTGAGGCTTGATCTTAGGATGAACGGATGATGAATGATGAACGCTTTCTTCGAGGGCCGTTGGGGCTTGATCTTGAATAATGGTTATGTGGATTTCTTCAAGGGCTTTTGGGCTTGATCTTGAAGGTTGATGGATGAGCGGATCTTCAAGGGCTTTTGGGCTTAATCTTGAAGAACGGTTGGTTTTCTTCAAGGGCCGTCGAGGCTTGATCTTGAATGAACAGTTGGGTTTCTTCAAGGGCTTTTGGGCTTGATCTTGAAGAATAGTTGTGTGTTCTTCAAGGGTTTTTGGGCTTGATCTTAAAGAACGGTTGGATGTGTGGATTTGTTGATGTTGTTGATCCAAAGGGCCGTTGGGGCTTGAGCTTAGGATGAACGGATGATGAACAATGAACACTTTCTTCAAGGGCCGTCGGGGCTTGATCTTGAGTTGGTGTAAGTTCTTCAAGGGCCGTCGGGGCTTGATCTTGAAGAATGATTTGACGAAGAATGAAGAGGGCTTTCTTGATCCTTCGGAATTCTTGGGAATTTGGATGGTTGGAAGCTTTGGAGTTTCAAAGCTTCAAGGATTTGGGGAATTCCTCTTCTAATTTTGGAGTAGAGAAATGTATTTGTGAATTCCTTGATGCTTGATACCTTGATGGAGAAGCCTATTTATAGGCTTTGAGAATGAATCACCACCACAAAATATTTTTTTCCTTTCCAAGCACCATTGCCTAATTTTCCCACTTAATGCAATATTGAAATTGAAGTGGTGTAACTATGGCCTAATTTCCCACTTAATACCATTTTAAACTTGAAGTGGTGTAACTTATGGTCTAATTTCCCACTTAACACCATTTTAAACTTGAAGTGGTGTAACTTATGGCCTAATTTCCCACTTAATACCATTTTAAACTTGAAGTGGTGTAACTTATGGTCTAATTTCCCACTTAACACCATTTTAAACTTGAAATGTACTTGCCTTGTCATTGCCCAAAATAAGAAGAAAAACTTGTTTAATCCTTCAAGGGTATTTCTTCCTATTTTGTTGAGTCACACACCATGTGTACAATTTGTACAACACGTGGCGTATGCCATGTATGCCTTGACACGTCAAAACTTTAATGCATTGGTGAACATTTGTTTTACTGAAATTTCGATGTCTACAATATAGACTAGGAAATCCTCAAGAGAAATTTTATTCTAGTGGAACTTCGATACGTGGAAATACCTTAGCTAAGTTAGCTAAGTGTAGTCTAATTGAAAATGCTTAGGTCCGATGCACATAGGGTGTGATAAAAGGATTTCAAAGGTGTTTTGGATCCACATGCAAGTGACCAAGTCCCTAACTAACTTTTGTTTAAGATTCATTAGGAACGAACATGCAATTTGGATTGAAAAGGAAGCCCCTTCTTAATGACACGATGCGATTATTAAATCCTTAGACCCAAAATGGGGCAAGGTGAACGAGCAAGTGGACAAAAAGTCATGCTTAAAAGCAGAACTCATCATATACACTAAACTTAATCTTCCACAAGTGTTAGCAATTACTTTTACTTCGCTAACAAGGCAATCTGATATGTCGGTGGGACATTAAGATCTGGAGACTATACTAGACATGAATCTCCAGTTTTCATTCATACTCCATTCTCTTACACATTGCTTGAGTCTCATATATTTTTCTTACTAACTTGACCATTAGAGAGCCTGTGACTGGTACCCCACTGTTGCCAAGGTTGTTTTACGTGTAATTGCTCTTTTACAGGTTGTCGAGTTTGTGCATCTCCTCCGCACATAATGGTGCATGAATTTGGTTCCAACAAGCTTGGTTCGGGTGATTTACTTAAGCTATGAAAACGTTTGGGTATCGACAAGGGAATACGGATCACACCATGTTTTCCAAACGCAAGGGTAGTAAGAGGACCTTGATGATTATCTATGTTGATTATATAGTAGTTATTGAAGATGATATGGAGGAGATTGACAAGCTACAAGGGTATTTGAATTTTGAGTTTGATATGAAGGATTTGGGTGCGCTTAAATACTTTCTGAGGATTGAGGTGGCTCGGTTGAAGGGAGGAATTTACTTGTCCTATCATAAGTATATGCTGGATTTGCTCTCAGAAATGTGTAGTTAGGATGTACACCTGCAGATACTCCCATCGTCCAAAACCATCATCTAGGTATACATCCTGACCAACTTCCAATGGATAAAGGGAGATATCAAAGGTTGGTTGCTCGTTTGATTTACTTGTCTTTCACTCGTCTCGAGATTGCATATGCTTTAGTGTTGTAAGTTAATTTATGCATGCTCTTAGTGAGGATCATATAGCAGTTGTGATAAGGATTTTGAGTTACTTGAAGTCTTCTCCTATAAGAGGTTTAATTTTTTGGAAGCACGTGGACATTTGGAGGTTGAAGATGATACTAATGTCGATTAAGTCGGCACTATAACTGATAGGCATTCAATATCCGGGCATTTCATTTGGTTGGTGGAATTTTGGTTACTTGACATAGTAAGAAGCAAAATGTCATTGCTTGGTCCAATGCAAAGGTTGAATTCAGGGGAATGGCTCATGGTAGTTGTGAGCTTTTATGGCTTCGGATTTTAGTTGCAAAAATTGACTTTAAGTCGAAGGGTTCGATGCAACTCTATTGTGATAATCAAGTGGCTAGGGAGATTGCCAATAATCCAGTTCAACATGACCCTATGAACCATG